CTTAGTTCACGTACCGCCTTGTATACCAGAACATCCTAAAATGCCTTGTCCCGGAGAAGAGAAATCCATCCACCACAGAGCTGCAGGCCACTGGAGAAAGCTGTATTGTGCTAATGGCCACACTTTTCAAGCCAAACGCTTCAGCAGGCAGACTCACTGTTTTGTCTGCCCAGACCGTGTAGGGGGACTTGGCCGCCAGGTATATAAGGGCACCAAATGTAAACTCTCGGTTCACAAGAAGTGCCACACAGTCATCACAGTTGAATGTGGGCAGCATTCTTTACCATCAGACACCCTGATGCCAGTTGATCCATCATCCATGGCTTCAGACCCTGCACAGACAGCAACCCCACAGAACCTTGCAACTCATGAGGCTTTAGAAGAAGGTGATGAAGAGAATGAGGCAGGGAACAACAGGGAAAGTGGCAAAGCTTCACCTAGTTTAGGTCTTCAGGACTTTGATTTGCTTCGTGTGATAGGCAGAGGGAGTTATGGGAAAGTACTGTTAGTCCAACTGAAAAAATCAGGTCATGTGTATGCAATGAAAGCAGTGAAAAAAGAGTTTGTCAACACTGATTGGGTACAGACAGAAAAGCACATTTTACAGCAGACCACTAATCATCCTTTTCTTGTAAGACTGCATTCTTTCTTCCAGACAGAAAGCAGACTGTTCTTTGTTCTAGACTATGTACATGGTGGAGATCTGATGTTTCATCTGCAGCACCAAAGAATCCTTCCTGAAGAACATGCCAGGTTTTACTCTGCAGAAATCAGTTTAGCCTTCAACTATCTTCATCAGAAGGGATACTGTATAGAAATTTGAAATTGGACAATATTCTACAGGACTCAGAAGGGCACATTAGACTCACCGACTATTGCATATGTAAGGAAGGCTTACAGCCCGGAGATGTGACCAGCACTTTCTGTGGCACTCCTAATTACCTGGCTCCAGAAATTGTAAGGGGGGAAGATTATGGTTTCAGTGTGGACTGGTGGACTCTTGGAGTACTGATGTATGAGATGTTGATTGGAGAGTCTCCTTTTCATCTTGATGAGAGCTCTGATAAGCCTGACCAAAACTCAAACAATGATCTCTATCAAGTCGTTTTGGAAAGAGAAATTCGCATACCTCGGTGTCTCTCTGTAGAAGCTGCAAGTGTCCTGAAGAGTTTTCTGAGCAAGGACCCAAAGGAACGATTGGGTTGCCATCCTCAGAGGGGCTTTGCTGATGTTCAGGAGCACCCATTCTTTCAAAATGTTGGCTGGGATATGATGGAGCGAAACCAAGTAGTGCCTCCCTTCAAACCAAATATGTCTGAGGGATTCGGGTTGGACAACTTTGATTCTCAGTTTACTGAGGAACCTGTCCAGCTCACTCCAGATGATAATGACATTGTGAGCAAAATGGAAGGATACGAATTTGCAGGTTTTGAGTATATCAAT